GCATGCAGGTCAACCGGTCAGTATCGAATAACATCAGATGAACCATGCAGGTCAACAGATTAATATTTAATAACGTCAGATGAACCATGCAGGTCAACCGGTCAATATCGAATAACGTCAGATGAACCATGCAGGTCAACCGGTCAATATTGAATAACGTCAAATGAACCATTCAGGTCAACCGGTGAATATCGAATAACGTCAGATAAACAATGAAAGTCAATATCGAATAACGTCAGATGAACCATAAATGTCAATCGGTCAATATTGAATAACGTCAAATGAACCATGCAGGCCAACATTTATTATTGAATAACGTTAAATGAATCACGAAGGTCAACATTGAAAAATATTTTTGTCTCCTGTTCAGGCAGGCTAAAAGTAATTGAAAAACTATACCTTTTCTTTAAGCATGCCGAATTCAGGACTCACGCAATATGTTAATTGTGGGTTATCCCATTCTGCAACAGGGGGCTCCCAATTAACGAGGACACATAACCTGGTAGCACGGCCTATGAGCGGAAAATGTGAAGTAATGTTAATATTATTAACGTACATTGGGTCTGATAATTAATTAATAAGAGCTGATATGAATTTTATAAAACTGAAATGTGAATCACTCGATTTGCTTTCATTATAAAAATTATCTAAATTAATCATTTGATCTGTTCAAAAACATGGCACAATACTCAACTATAGAATGGTTAGAGTACCCCAAGACATATATCACAATGTAGCCCCGATTTTTAAATAGTTTTCTTGGAAGAGGGTTTGTGAATTTTTCCAAAATACCTCAACTGAAGAGCAAAACTGGTACGCGTTGGAAATCTTTAGGATAATGATTTCCAGTTTCGTTTTTGTCATATGTATTCGGTACATTCGGCAAATTGTTCTTATTATCATGTCTATCGCAAGAATGTTAAAGTAGGTGACACATTTATTTCTCCTGAATTTTCATGAATGACTTACCTAATATTCCTGGCGGGCATGGCTGTTCGTCTATCGTATCTCCATCTGTACGATTCCAAAAAATCCCACTTCCTTCGATGATGTCATATCCGGCCTCACACATCGGTATATTGGCGGCTAAGTAATATTATAAGACAATGTGATATTGAAGTCACATGACCCGTGTGTTTCAACAAAAAATATTATGAAATGTTTCTGATATCGCAATTTACACTGGTTTAACCGCATGTTGGTTTTGTGTATAAGAACGGCGCTGACCCATGAACCACGATAAGTTGTTTTTAATTAAATACTCACGTGTTTTACATCGTGGTCCTTTGAATTCTTCTGTGCAAATACAAGAATATTTATTGATTTCATCGAGACATGTGCCTCCATTATGGCAAGGTGGTTGGTCCGGTTCTAGCAAGCATTCTGGGATATCTGCGAATGATAAAATAACGCTCTGATCCTGAGGCTATTACAGCTCAGTAAACTGCGCAAATATATTCTGGCATTGTTTACCGGCCTATATGTACAAACACGGTGGTAATCACACAAATACATGCATGCAATGGACCTACCTGTGCACTGTCTCGTTGTTTTACATCGTATTATATCAATCGACGATCACGGCATTCTGACTCAAAAAAAATTCATTCAATATTTGCGAAAGTTTGAACATCAAGCAATAAGTACGTGTCATAAATAATCCTTCGTTTATTATAATTATACCCTGGTATGAATTATCCCGGCTTTGTTTGCTCTTTCATGATTGGAGCGTTAAAAATACACTTAAATATCAAATAAGTAAAACAGATGATTAAAAGTTAAATCGTGTTAATTTCATTTTAAACAGACAATATTCTTAAAACGATAATTTTAGAATGTTTATATGAAACTTCAGCAGTAGGTATTACATTCACAATATTGAATTTGGAACCCATAAATTATCAAGGTATATATTTAACTCGATTTATTTATTTTGAATAAAGGATATACTAATTGCTCCACGGGTACACTAAATGCTCTAAACATAGTCGCCAATGCTAATTATACACTTACATTTTTTTACGCAAGATAATATCATCCTTAATTATTACTATACCTGTAAAGATCCTGTCCGGTGCCGAAAACAACGACATCAATAACAGCGACGACGATGACGACGATTATAACAACACAAAAACCAGGTAGACATATACATGTATATGTACTAACTTTATCTCTTCGTGTTAAGATGATAAGTATATATGTAAAAACTAATTAAACAGTTTGCATATATACTTGCCACATAGTAGACATATACATATATACATACCTATTTCACAGTTAATGCCCTCAAATCCAGATGGACACAGACACGTATACATATTAACGCCATCAACACACGTGACATTGTTATAGCATGGCAACGGATCACACTCATCAATATTGCTTTCACATTGTCTTCCAGTAAATCCCGGTCGACATGTACATATATAGTCCATGAATAAGTTAGTACATGTGGCATTATTCTCACACGGTTCGTACTCACAGGGTGTTATTTCTAAGAATAAAAAATTATCACATTATTTATTTATTTATTTATTTATTTAATTAATTATTTATTTGTTTGTTTGTTTATTAATTCTACAACAAACATTTATCTAAGCCAAGTTGTTCCCATTTACATAAGCGCATGTGCCAAATTATCGCTAATGTACGCAATTAGTTTTCAGATATAAGAAAGCTCTGAGATAAGTTCTGAGGACCAATGAAAAACTATTTAGTTAGTTCGGTAAAATCCCACATACAGTATACCTGTCGTTAAAATCCCATATGCCTTTGCGCTTCACGCAAAAGTACCTTTGCCACAGGTACCCCTTAATTGTGTGGTCAATCGCCAATCTCCGACGCAGTTTAATTTCGATGAATATATCTCTGGCACCATGAGATCTTAAGCTTGCCGTTGATTGAGACAGAAATAGTATTGAAATATTCACCAGAATACAAGATAAACGGAAATGTTAGGAAACCCCTTTCAGTGAAATTAGTCTTTAATGTTTCTTTATCAACTAAATTCGATAACAGGACGTTTTTCTTCCAAGATTTAGTGTATCACGTGCGCCATTCCACTACAATAACATTACCTTGCAAAACATAGTTCGCGATGAAATGGTTCGTATTTACGTTTTTACTGAAGTCTGACATTAATAAATAGTTCGGATGACACACACGTTTTTTTCAACTTTTTGTAGTTCGGTTTCATATGGAAAAAAAACGAGAGGAAAATGGCCGTGCCTGTGGCAGAGGTACTATTGCGTAAAGCGCAAAGACTTATGGGAAAGAGATTGAAGTAGCGTGTATCAAACTGTTCGGAGTTCGGTATCGCCGTTGTTAAAAATTTTGCAACTGTGCACAAGACTAAGCAACATTGCGACGGTATGCCAACCAACAACCGCAAGTATATAGTAAAATAAGTAACGAACAAACACATGACAACAAATGCATGGTTCTCTATATTCTATAAATAAATAAATGTATATTTATTTATATTATGATTTACCTGAATTTGAATATTCCAAAAGAAATCCGGTATAGTTCTTGTTGTCGATGACGTCGTCGGAATTGAATCCTAGTCGCATCCACTTATCAGTGGAACTGAATGAATCTGATTGATTGCCACACAACTGGGCTATGACGTCACTGGTACCACTATAACCATCTTTGGCCTGTGTATGCATCACATTTTTTGAAATATTATTAACCAATACACTCGGTGCAACAAAAGCATTCCATCCATTTAAAAAAATATATAAATTTCACAGTTCAAACTGAAACAAGAGGTTTCTGTTGGCCGATTGAATAACATTAGAACGTTTTTAAATGACGACGTTGAGCATTGAATTGAATTGCATTTTTATTTCACCACACACAAACGATTACAAAGTCAATATTACATGACTACGTTACTAATAAAACGAAGAAATTTGTGGTGGGGGTCACTGAAATAGTTCTACTGAACTAGTCGGGTCAGTGACCCATTTTAAAGTAAACACACTGGCAAGTGAAAAATATAAATCATTAAATAAATAATATGTAAATGCTTTCAAAACAGTAACTGCAAGAGGAAAATGAAAAAAGCGTCTGCCCAACAAGTGGCAGAATTATTTGTCAATATTACAGAATTTTTAAAAAAAAATTACAGATAATAATACATTTAATAATAAAATAATATCACAAGTATGAATATAATGCCGATGAAAGAGAGATGACATGGAAGGTAAGCAATAAGTTGACTGAATTTAAGTTTTTGAAATAGGGGAGCAGTATGGGGTACGAAAAAAAAAAGTAATTAAACGAACAACTATTTATTGGAGATGATGAGCTGGTTTAAGTAATGATGGATATGTGTTACCCCATATCTCGAGACAATAAGTAATTTGCGGTAAAATTAATGATTTGTAAAAAAGGAGAAGTATTTTATGCTCGTTGTATTTACCCAGTTGGTGGTCAGGGCTACACCAGCCGATAATATAGCAGATTTGTAACATAACCGATCACTTGTCAGTCAATATTATTGGGGGTGGCGTGTTTAAGAGGCTAAATTAAGACAATATTCGACATTATTATAAATCAAAGTTTCATTGGAATTGATTTATTCTAATGTTAATCATAGCTGCGCCATATTGTACTTTACTGCTCTGTACTGAAATGATCAGACTTCCCGAACTACTATAAACTACCACTAACTACTACTAACTGTCACTAACTCGCTACACTGGATTTTACTGAAATTATCTGAATTCCCCAAATACTGTAAACTATCACTAACTGTCACTGATTACTACTGACCCCCACTAAATACTACTACTAACTACCGCTAACAACTGCAACCAAACCAACGATTACAGTTGAGGGTATGATGCCACTGACACGTTTTTGACATGTGCAAATATTTGTTTGCATATATCAGTGGTAATTGTTCATGTCAAAGTTTTCCTGACAGATTAAGTTCACTGTCATTTTGTTTGACACTTCAGCAGCCCATTCCATAAGTTACAATAAAACATATTCAGTCATTGTTTAATGTTTCTAGATTCCAACAAGTACTTTTTAAGACACTGTATTTCTTTATTTTCACATTGTCTCTAACATTTCGAGATATTGAGATATACATCAGACAAAACTTGCAATGTTCATTGCATTTTGTACATCATTTGTTTCCAATCTAAGCGTATATTTTAGTTTATTTCATTTTCTACATCCTTCCACGTCATGATGTCACACGCAACGTAATATTATCGTAATTGGTATAGTACAGGTGTGATGGTTCAAATACCAAAATGGCAACAGTAACAGAAAGACTTCCCTGGCGGCGGTGATGAAATACGAACATGGAGCCAACAGATGAGGTTTCAACTGGTACTGGTATTATTATACTCTGCAAACATCAAGTACAATAACGCGGTAAAACTCCACTACTCCAATAACTAGATACTTAAACTCCAATACAATTCAACGAGATCTCCGATCTGAACTCAGTGCTGAACAACTCCCCTATATATACCCACACTGTCTATAAATAGACCATTACATCAGCATACATAATGAGTCTGGAACTTACTACCAATTTCTAGAATGTTCCATTACCTTCCATTGCCTCCTACAGTGTTCTATTACCTACTCAACCAGTTTCTAAACAAAATCTAGAATATTCCACCCAGACACAGTACGGTTCTAGAACATTCTCAGTGACACGGAAGCGGTAAATAAGTCGTATGCGACACATGAAAATTACATTAGTTTTTCCTTTGAGTACAAAGCGTTCTACCTGTAATATATGTTCTGAATAAATCAAAGAAGACTGGCTATCTGAAATTGTTGAGTTATGATATTATTAAGCTCAAGAATGATAGAATACATACCACCTTCGTAGTACATAGGGATTGAAGTCAATTTAAACCTGACAGACGTACTAATGCAATATATTAATGAGAACTCATATTTGGACCGGAAGCTAGATGGCAATGCATTCAAATAAAGAAAACACGTATTGTATGTGCGATTATTTACATACCGACAGGAAATCCGTTTGACAGTTGGGGGATATTGGAAAATCGAGCCAGAGTACGCGGATGTCGATCTTGTTTCCGTACGTTGTTTCGAGTAGCCAATCACAAGACACGTTGAGAGGATACGGATTTGGATAATTAGGACTTTCAATTATTCCGCTGGTATTGGCTGATATATTCATCCCGCTACAAACACCTGTCAGTAAGAAAATACGCATTCATATAAACTCGTGGTATTAGAACGCCTTCCAAATAAAATACAATTTAAACAACGCTTATAAACAACACGTATTTACCTGTGTAGTCTATGTAGAATCCACGAAATCCCATGGAGTTGTCTGATTGGAAGACGACGGTGATAGAGTTCGAAGATGATACGATGTCTATGTCCTCATAGTCGTAACAATATTGTAATATTAACGGAGATGTCACATCAGGACCATCGAAAATCTGAATATACAAAACATAATATAATAGTTACGAGTGATATTTTATCTTTCATTTTACTGATATTCTTTCGTTTTGTTATGCTTGGTTTTCGGTTAAAATATAGTATCTATAGTACATGTACATGTATTAAAGGGCTGTAGTTGTGGCCCCACGCATGCGTGAGATATATGGGTCTCATATAAACAACAAAGATGACGACTGTTGCGCAGTTCAACGAGTACAAACTGAGACGTTACCAAGCTTTAATTAGGTATTTTCAAATGATTGGAAGGTATCGAAGGAGTCACCGGCGATAATTAACGGAAGTCGCGCCCAGGTCAATTAGAAGAGCGCATTGGATTGTGGGGAAATCAACACAAATGTCCCACATGCGCAGCGCGACGTCTACCGCCCTTTAAACGTATGTGTAAAAGAATAGGTGATGTTTTCATGAATGAGTGTAATGTTTGATTTCGTAACATTCACTGATTGGTAAAAAGTATTGACAAACTCACCTGCACAAAATCAAAACATTCGGAATTGCTCTCAAGTTCAAAATCAATGAAATGCAGTTTGACTTGGTTACCACGCGATACTGTTATTGTCCATTGACAGTTCTGGTTGTTTGGATAGGCAGCTCCATAGTTTGGCGTGTTAATCGCACCGCTCCACGACGTTGTGATGTTCCCATC